AACGCCTACTTGGTCCTCCTGTGCAAACCTCGCTGCTTCCGAAAAAGAGGAAAAAAACCATGCAGGAGATTTTTGAGAATAAATAGCATTTGAGAGTCTGCAACTGATAAAGTCGGACACTCGCCCAAACTGAGCAGCAGGAAGCCTAACAAAAAGATAATTTCCCTTTTTGGCCATTTTTTTAGCAACCTAGGATCCAGGCCAGGATCACACGTTCCATTGAGGTGTCACATCTTCTTCGTCTCTTTTAATCTATAATAATTTCTCCGCCTGCCGTTGCCTCTCATGGATGTTTTTGAAGAGTACAGTCTAGTTATTTTGTAAGCGTGTCCTTCTAATGGGCTCATGTGATGCTTCTGGAGTCTGGGTCAGGTCAGGTGATGCATTTCAGGCAGGAATACTCCCAAGGTGCTAGAACCGGATTTTCTAGCACTACCCCCATGCGGTGCGAGAAAGTTGGCCCTGCGTCCCGCGAACTAAATATTTTCTGCCAAATCCTGATTTGACTGTGGGGCTTCATGCCTCCCACTGAAGAATCTCAATTTGAACTAAATGGCCTAAAACTTTTTGTAGGATTCTCAGAATCACATTTAAGAGTGAAAACAGCCCGAGGTGTCCTCGTGTTTCGGGGGCTCCCTTCTCGGAACGCGATGAGCACCTTGGATCTGTGCTACCAGTCTGAGGAAGGGTAAGAGAGGGCAGGAACTGGTTCTTGTAAACTGACAGTTCGGGAGAGTGAGTTGGAGATAATCACATAATCCATTTATAAACACCCAAGTTAACAAGCTCTCACCTTCTCCAAATAGGCCCCTTATTTACAAATAGTCACTTCTGGCGCAAAAGTGGGCTCTCGTCCATGTGACTGGAGTCACATGCAGCCCATCTCATGGCATTAGTTTCCTGCAACACCCCCAAGACCAGTTCACATTAGGAACACCACCAGAAACTGTATTAAACGCATAATCCCAGCATTATGAAATAATACTAGGAGTATGAAACGCTGGGAGTATGCAAATGAAATGCAACGTTATGAAAATAAGATCATGTTTTCTCTCACTCTGCAAACAACCCACCCCCCAAAAAAAACCTGCAGCCGTGTCTATCCACTGCGAACCCAGGCTGTCTCAGAAGATAAGAAAGTCCTAGGATAATGATTTCCTGTGCCATTGGGCCACGCGTGGAGAACAGGTCCAGGCCCCACAGTGTGTGAGACAACTGCAAACGGAATTACTGACGGAGCAGAGCATGGATTGCTGAAGAATTCAAAATCAAGGGGTGAGAGTGGCTTTCCAGGCCTTTTCAGTCCCGCCCCGGCCTGCGGCCCCTCTTGGGCTCTCGGCTCCATCCCCCCAACCATTCGTCTCTCCCGCGGTCCCTTGTGTGCACAGGTTAGACAGAGGCCCATCGAGGCAGAGCCCTCTAAAAATGTCATCGGTGCCTTGTAGAAGGTAGTGCACCACCACCTTCCCTTGACTGATACTTGCAGAAAAGGTTCAAAGTGCTTTGGGGGCTGCTGGGGGTGCGTACTGCGGTGCACAAGTCCCCTCCACCTGAGGTCCCGTGAGGATCAGTAATCAGATTCCAGTGAAACGTAGCCTAAATGTGCCTCTTAAAATAATATCTCTTTAATCTGCGTCTTTCCAAATCCGAAGAAGAAAGATCTCCTGATTATTGACAAAGAAGAGCTCATTTCATTTTCTGGGTGTGTCTGTGATGCTCATGGGAGTCACAGAAAGTCGTGTGAAATGGGAAAACCACATAGCAGAAGCTCACTCTCTTATTTTTTTTAAAGATTTTATTTATTTATTCATGGACGACCCAGAGAGAGAGAGAGAGAGGACGCCCGTGCCCACCTGCCGAACTCCCGCAGATCCAGGAACCAGCTGACACCACGGTCACCCGGGGGCAGCTCAAGCACGCGCGTTTCTTTTCTTGCGTAAAACGTGTTCACCGTTTGTGTCCAAATTTCGGCAGTGATCGATGGCTGACCTCAGACGGGGAGGGAGACACCTCGCTGTGTGCAGACACCACAAGTGTACGTTTGGAGTCATCCTGTTAAATAAAATGGAAACACTATTTTGACGACGATTATTTGAAGCTTATTTTTCCTTAAGATGAAATGCGTTTTGGGACTCCCCCCACCAGCCCTTCCCTCCCCCCACACTTCTTTTTTACGTTTTCGTCTCACAGTACACCCAGGTCAGTTAAAACTTCCCGCCATATTAGTAGAACACGGCCTGAAGGAGCAGCGTATTGGCTTTAGCTTCTAAACCAGAGGGTGAGGCCACCTGGGGGCCCAGCGCTGGAGCATCTGCCGTCGGCCCAGGGCATGACCCTGGGTCCTAGGATCGAGTCCCACATCGGGCTCCCTGCATGGAGCCTGCTTCTCCCTCTGCCTGTCTCTCTCTCTCTCTCTCTCTCTCTCTCTGTGCCTCATGAATACATAAATAAAATATTTTAATAAATAAATAAATAACAAAATCTCTGATACTCTACACTATATTACAAAAATAACTATACTCATCAGGGAATGGTGAGAAGCCTGGGAACTTTTACAAGAGTGTCTTGGTTGCTGGCCGTCCAAGTCCCTCTGCCACAGCCTCCTCGATGGTCAATGAGGTGCATCAGCTGCAGGGACCATGATTCTTCTACCAAAGAGTCAAAAATGACTAGTGTGGGAGCAGCCATGATCTGTGACCAGAGAGGACATCTGCTTCCCGAGGATGGCGGATGGCGTTGCAGCAGCGATGTTGACTCGCTGCAGGAGGCCTGAGAGGAGCCCCGGGGCGGGGGGCGGGGGCGGGGGAGCTCCTACTGATCATTTATGCCTTTGCATTTCTCCATGAGAAAAAAAAAACAAAAAAGAATGCAACTAGCGGCATCTGAAGAACCAGTCTGCGGCCTTCGGTGCTCTTTTCTCCGTCAAGTGAAGAAGCAAACCACAGAACTGCGTGCTTCTGTGCGGCCTGTGGTAGAAGGACCGACGTCTGGGGTCCACGGCCTGCTCGCTGACGGCCTGGACCTTCACGTGTCTCCAGCAGAAGAGGGATGTGAGCGCTCGCCGCAAGGTGTTTCCCCAACCTGGCCCCGTCGGCGGGGAGCGCCAAGGAGGCAGGGCCTGGCACATCCCGCTCCATTCTAACGTTAGGGCTGCACGCGCGTCCCTGAGGGCGGCCTGGCAAGGTCTCAGCAATTTGGCAAAAGCCGGGTGGTAGCGCGTGGGTAGCGGAAGCAGGCTGCGGTGGCAGGATGGCCCCCCTCGACGTGTGCACGAGCCCGTCACGTCGATGTTTTATACAGAGAGAGCACTTGGCCTCTTGTCTGACAGCAGCTTCCCCGTTCAGCTGAGGCTGTAGCGCATGTCCCTCAGGAAGGAGAAGCAGAGCTCAGGTAAATGCAGACGGGGCGTCCCGCGGACGTCAAGGACGCGCCCCAGCTCGTGCAGGGCCCCGAGGGGGCTGTCCCAGCCGGCTATGCACACAGACACACGCACACACAGGCACATGCACACTCAGGCACGTCCGCACGCCAGCCTCCAGGACGCCCTCTCGCACACAGACGATTCTGAGCCAAGGGGCACCTCAAGCGTCCCTCACTGCGTCGTGCCCGCGATGGTCAAAACGCCACCTTTTGGAGGCAGGGAATTCCCAGGACCTGCCCTCTGGACTCGGGTGGGCGGTGGACGCGCAGAGAGGTTGTCCAAATTGGGCAAAATGTCCGGCAGAGCAGCTCCCCGCACCTCTGGTTCCTGGCGCCATATGGGCTGCTGGCCCCGGAGGCTGGTGAAAGGGAGGCTGTGGCTGGGACTCACGCACACAAGCAAGGCTTCACCAGGAGGCATTCGGCGGGCGAGTGGGGGCCCACGTGCTGAAGACCCATTTGGAGAAGCGCGAGGCATCAGCGTGGATGCCCGGAGGGGTCCGCATGGGTCAGGGCCACATGGCGCTGGGTGCCCCGCAAGCACCCACCTCCTGCACATGGGCCGGCGCTGGGCCCCGAGGTCGTGTCCATCCCACCCGCGGTGCTGGCAACCCTAGGGGACCACCCCCATCAGGACAGCAGCCCAGCCCCTTGTCCGAGCCAGTTCCGAACTGGGAAGACTGCAGAACGGGGGGGGGGGGGGGGGGGCGTAGGGTTTCTACAACCCCGACTGCAGATTCCAGCCTTAGCCATTGAGTCACCTGCCCTGTTGATGAGTTCGCTTGTTTAGAATTATCCTGTTGGACCCTGCTTTCCTTTTCCTTACACTTAACTATTCTTCTTGGATAAAACCTTTAGTGAAGAACATTATTAGAACAAAATCAAGGGCGGCCTGTGGGGCGCAGGGGTTTAGCACCGCCTTCAGCCCAGGACGTGATCCTGGAGACACGGGATCGAGTCCCACGTCGGGCTCCCTGCCTGGAGCCTGCTTCTCCCTCTGCCTGTGTCTCTGCCCCTCTCTCTCTCTCTGTCTCTCAGGAATAAATAAATAAAATCTTAAAAAAAAAAAAAAAGAAGAAGCACAAAATCAAATGACATACTGGGAGGAAATCTCGAGATCAGAGGGCTAACTTCACTCTCCCCGACAGCGCGTGGTTTCGAATGTCCCCTTCCAACCCACAGCAAGGGCACTGAGGACCGGTGGAGACAGGGGCAGGGGCGGACATGGGAATGAGAGAAGGACCCGAGGCGCTGGGGGCAAAAAGAGAAAGAGCAAAAGCAGAGGCGCAGAGGCAAGGGAGGACTAGGAAAAATCGAGGCAAAATATGAAGAGGAGTCCAACAGACAAGAGCCCTTCTGATTTTCCTCCTCTTGGTCTTGGGTGATTTTATTTTGTCCAAAAGCTTTAATTCTCCAGTTAAAACTGCTGATAATTTTACAGACACATCCTAGGAGAGCATCTACATCCCTTGGTCTCCTCTCCCACGAGCGCCCCCCCCCTCCTCTGCCCTCCGCTCCCGACAGTCCAACACACGCGGCCGGGCTGGGCCTTGCGGTCCTGTTCTCTCAGGAACGTCCTGCAGGCTCCTCGGTCGCCTTTTCTTGACCGGGTGCTGCCCTCTAGAGCGCAGCGGTGCTCCGGGGGCTCCTCCTTTGCTAGTGTAGCTTGAGGCCGCTGCCTCTGGAAACCACCTGGTTTCCACATCAGATCACTCTCCCCTCAAACAGGCAGCGAGTGCCCTTTACCTGGTCCTGTGGCTCTGAGCACCAGGGAAAACGCAACCCATAAAAGCGACGCCTCCGCCTCCAGTAGCATTTAGGAATTCCTAGGACTGATCCCAGGATGCTCGAACCCTGGGTGCTAATTATCTTGAGACAGATCCTACTCAGAGAAGAGTTGACTGGAAACGTACCATTGGTTTTTAATATATACACATTTCATGGAGTCGTGCACACGTGTGAGTATAATCTACCTTTATGGAACCAGAAGAGTTCTATGAGTTGGCCTATATACACATATACATACACAAACACCTACCATCTGACACTCTAGCTCGGGTTAGACAGTGAGCGGGGCTTGCCACTCGCTGCCGGAAGTGGCAATGCCAGCAAACGGCAAGTCCAGAGAAAAACGGATTGGAAGGGACGAGACTGAATTAGCAAAATACGCATTTCAACATTACAACAAACTGATTTGCCCACTTCCCTAAGGCAGCCAGCCTCTGTGATCTGTACACTCTTATTAAATAATCTCATTAAATAGGAGCACAAAATATACACATTTACAGTCGTTAAATAAGCACGGGACTCCTCTTCTATCTACAGCCGCATTCGGACACTGCCATGCCTTCGTATTTGAACTTGTAGGTGACGACGCCCTTGTCTAAATAGAGGATGGAGATGGGCTCTAGCTTGGTGGGCACACAGCAGGCCTTGGAAGCCTTTGGGGGATTCTTGAGGTGGACCAAGGCCTGGATGATCGCGTGCTTTGTGGGTGTGAGGTGCTCTGCCAGGGGGTAGTTGCAAACCCCACGGCATTCGTAGGCTTCGTATCCGGGGGGGGCGATGATCCAAGAGTCCCAGCCTATCTCTTTGAAGTCGATGTAGAGCGGGGTCCTCTTGCAGTAGTTTCCCTTAGCGTTCCTTCTGATGCGGGCAGTAGAATCGTAGATGATGTTTGACCTCATCTGCAGCAGGGCTGCTTCTCCCGGCCCACTGGAATAGCCTTCCAGGCCCAGGTTGTTGACCTCCAGAAGTTGCTCATGGGCGATCATCTCATTCACTTCCTCCTTCCGCTCCTTCCCGCTGCTTTGGTCGTCAGAAAACACGACGAGCAAAGGGATGTGCTTATTTTGGGCACTGGTGTCTATTTCCAGGTGTCCCCTGCCGGCATCTTCGGTTCCGTCGTGTCTGCTCTCGATGTGGACCTCCAGCTGGTGAGTGGATGAGCCCGACCTTTGCCAACGCCTGATGGCATCGGTGACGTCAAAAGTCTCCCACTCATTGTTGGTTCCGTAGATCTCTCCCGACACCAAGACCAGCATGCTCCTTTCGCCCTCAGTGTCCCCTCTGCTCTCTAGTACCTCAAAAATGGTAATCTTGCGATCTACTCCATCATATATCAGGCGGTCTCTTTGCACCAGTGTGTACAACCTGAGCTCAGCCATGATAACCTTTTCATGATGAGGGATGGACACGTTGAAGAGGAGAGGGTACTTTCGGAGCCCGTTAAAACTGGCTGGCTGGGAAAACAGATCTAAAAAAAAAAAAAGAAAGAAAAGACAAAAATCAGATTTGTAGTGTGTCACGGGGAAAAAACAGACGCTTCTTTATGCGTTCAGAGGGCCTGTCTGTGGGGGAAGCTTGATACAGAGAAATGGGGCGGGATGGGGGGGACAATCGATGAAAACAAACACAATGTTAGCATTTTCCAACAGAAAGCACTGAAAGGTCAATGGTAGAAGCCTAAACTGACTCAGGCTGCCAAGAGTGGGATGGAAAGTGGCTCCCTAATGAATGGGAGGACACTCTCCCAGCCTTGCTTGCATGGTTTATCAGCCACTGAATTACAAAGATGGGAGGGACCCTGGAGACCCGGCAGGCAAGCCCCTAATTATCCTAAACAGGGAAGAGACATCAAATGGGACATGGAGTGGTGGTTTTTGGGTTTTTTTTGTTTTTTTTTTTTTTTGAAACTTTTCAGGGAGGAGCACTTGATGGCTTTTCATATTTGCATTTGTAATGGGTGAAGATTCCCCACAGGGTGGGCTGAGCTTTGGGCTCCCTAAAAGACCTCCAGGCTAATCAGGGGTTGGCAAACTCTAGCCCATGGGCTGGGTTGGGCCTGCCACCTATTTCTGGAAATAAAGGATCAGGAGAACACAGCCTGGCCCATTTATCTCGGTGTCATCAGTGGCTACTGCTGCCCTGCAATGTCAGAGTTGTAAGAACACATGGTCCGCGAAACCTAAAATATTTGCTATCTGGCCCTTTACAGAAAGGGTTTGCTGACTGCTGCTCTAGACACCGAAGTCTAATGAGGTCGACAAGATAGCCATAAACCAAGGGGGGGGGGGTCGCGGTGCTTGAATTTGGGGGGTGTGGTCTTCAACAGGAGGAATGGGAGAAACTGAACCTTGGGACCGATGGGTTGCTTCAGTCTCGTACCCTTAGTGACCCGCATGGAGTTTGGCGCATAAGAATCCCTCCGAATGTTTATGAAATAAATTGTGAAAGTTCCTTCAGTCTCAGAAGCACACCTCCAGGGCACCTGGGTAGCTCAGCAGTTGAGCATCTGCCTTTGGCTCAGGGCACGATCCCAGAGTCCTAGGATCAAGTCCCACATGGGTCTCCCGGCATGGAGCCTGCTTCTCCTCTGCCTGTGTCTCTGCCTCTCTCTCTCTCTCTGTGTCTTTCATGAACGAGTGAATAAAAATCTTTAAAAAAGAAGAAGCAGCACACCTCCAAATATTATCATGTTGACTTCCTATCTGAGAATTTTGTAGGAGCCCAACGCTCCTGTACACTTGTCCCAGGTAACACAGGACTCCAAAATGCCCCTGGAGGCATCTGTCATCCATCAAAGGGTTCCATGACAGCAGAGCCCTGTTTCAGACCATATTCTTAATATTTTTCTTTAACTTTGTAAGATGATTTTTAGACATGATCTCTCTTTTAGGCCTGTCCTAAGCAACCACATTCATGAAATGAGGAGACCGAGGTGATGGTCACGTGGATTCTTTTATCCGATCCACCTTAGTGAAAAAAAATATAATAATTTCACAGGATTCACAGCGTTCTCTGGGAAGGGTACCACTTGAAATCATCTCGTACACTGCCAGTGGGAAATATGGGTCAATGAGATGGATTTAAACTCTCCAGCAAGACTCTTAAAACCAGCCAGAACCAGGCCTTCGCCTCTTGATCGAGTCATAGTTCCCATTCATTCCCCTACAGCCCATGGAACATTGTAATTGAACACTTGAGGTTTGTTGAAAGATTTAAAGAAACTATAAGCCCTCCTCTTTGAAGCAGACTGATATCTTCACCATTTGCCAAAACACTCCTGTGCCTTGCTGTGCGCCGCACGTTTGGAGACGTGCTTCTGGCTCCTGGAAAGCCTTCTCCCCTCGCCTCCACCTTTCTAGCTGTGTCCCCTCCTTGTGGGATTTTCCTTCCTTCACCTCTCCATCTAGAAGTTCACTGTCTTCTGGGTCACTTGAGCATTTACCACCACCACCACCACCCCCTTTTTTTTAAAGTTTTTCTTTAAATTCTACTTAGTGAACATACGGTGTAATATTGGTTTCAGGAGTAGATTTCGTGATTCGAATACTTTCTCTCTCTCCTTTGAGCTTTACCATTTACATCCTTTACATTTCAGTTTCCTTTTTTTTTTTAAGATTTTATTTATTTATTCATGAGAGACAGAGAGAGAGAGAGGCAGAGACACAGGTAGAGGGAGAAGCAGGCTCCACTCAGGGAACCCGATTCGGGACTCGATCCCGGGTCTCCAGGATCACACCCTGGGCCGAAGGCAGGGACCAAACTGCTGAGCCACCTGGACTGCCCTTCAGTTTCCTTTTTATGAGTGGCTCTCCCCAACCAGATAGTCATCATGCTGGGAGGTCGCACAGCTTAAACTCCCTTCTAGGCCTCCAGGCTACCACGATGTCTTAAATTGAGGCAATGCTTTTAAAATATTGACTAGTTGATGGTTCTGGACATCAGATCAAACTGATTTATCTGTTTGATAAACTGTTTTACTATTTTCCCATGGGCATCCATGGGTCCTTGACACATCAAGGATCTTGGGAGCTGTTCCCCTCTTATAAGAATGGAGAGACTTGACTCTCCTTGGATGGGGAGCATGGGAAGACCACAAATGGAGTAGACTGGTTGCTCCATCCATGAGAAAAGTACAGAATAAAAAGCTCATGGTAGTGGGGGGAAGGGATTAGGAGAACAGAACAGGGGAAAGGAGAACAGGAACATTTTTCATCGTGATGAATATCTTTACCATCTTGACTGTGGCAACGGTTTCTTCGGGTGTCTACCACTGTCAAAACCTGATGATTATACACCTCAAATATGTACAGTTTATCGCAGGTCAATTGCACTTCAGTAAAGCTGTTGAAAAAATAAGCTCACTGGGCACGTGCAAGTATACAAAGTAGTAGACAGAGGGGCACCCTGGTGGCTCAGCGGTTGAGCATCTGCCTTCACGTCAGGGCGTGACCCCGGGGTCCTGGGATCGAGTCCCCTTCGGGCTCCCTGCATGGAGCTTTCTCCTCCCTCCGCCTATGTCTCTGCCTCTCTCTGTCTCTGGGTCTCTCACGAATGAATAAATAAAATCCTCAAAAACAAACAAAAAACAAAGCACTGGATGGAGGTGTCGCATTCTAGGCAGGGGAACGGATGTTAGTTGAACATATTTAAACGGGCCAGTGTTTTGCAAGCCCTGTTTTATTTAGTTCTTACAATGACCATTCATTTCCGTCGTGTTCATTTTTACACCAGAAGAAATCGGGGGTCAGTGCCGAGGACCGACTTCCCCAAGATGACAAAGTGAGGTCAGCCGTAGGAGGAATTCAACTCGTGCTTTTTCTACCTTAGAAATGCACTTGTTTCCCCCTGACTAGTACATTTGGGGAAGGTTTTTTTTTTTTTTTTTTCTGGTTTGGCTTTGGGGGATGGGGCCGGGCGGGGCCGGTCTTTGTCTCCCAGGCAGCTGCACTGTGCAGACCCAAAGGGGCCAAAAGAGAGACCGTAAGAGCCACCAGGGCCACCGCCCAGGGCGGGACCCGCATCCCAGCAGCAGGCTGGCAGGGGTGCGGGCAGCGGGCTGTCCGCAGAGGGATCCGCTCCTGCTTCCGCTGCTCTCCAGGAGTAAGACGCTCCGGAAACTGCACTGCCTGACCTCGGTCACGAAACCCTCCACCGGAGATGCGGAACCTGAAAATCTCCTGTTGTCCCAGGGCGTGCGAATGTTGTCCCACCCGCACCCTGAGCCGGGCCCCCGGGGCGGGGCGCGGGGCTCAGAAACGCCAGGAGGGCTCCTGGAGGCAGGCCACTCCTCTCCAGCGCAGGCTCACCCGCAAGAGGAATCTGCAATCTCACTCTTGCCATTTCCATTACATGACTAAAGGTTATTAGGAAGCGTCCCAACGTGTCCTGACTATCTACCATTGGGCCAGTTATCTAAATTGTCAAGGCAAACGGTATCTCCGAGACTGAGCCATCCCCACCGCACATGTCCTCCAACGCCTAGAACTGAAGGAATTCCTGAGTAATATCTAACGTGTGTCCCCGGTTCACAGCAAATGCAGTGCTTTCTTACCCATACCCTCTTGGAGATCGCTCAGCTGTGTTACGTGCGCTTATTACCCCCAACTCACGGATGAGAAAACTGAGGTTCAGAGAAATCAAGCTAAAATATCCACAACTGCTGAATCAAGCCCGTCTCAAAATTCCAAATCCTAAGCCATTTCTTTGCTAGCACCTTTCTGCTTTTAGGATCTGCTGATCAACATCAACCCAAACCCTCTTTTGTATGTGGTCAATGACAACGGTAAATATTAAAGAATTCATTTCTTTGGACCCAGATCTTTTACCACGCACACTAGGGGAAAAAAATGTATTTTTGCCTACTGGCACCGTATTAGATAAAGGATTAACTTGCTACGTCAGGCCATTTAGTCACTGAATAAAAGCTGGCGGAGGGGGGCTAACCTAGCTTTCCTGCTGATATTTAAGGCTTGCACGTTGCTATTCATGAAGACTGAAGTAAGGGGCATCATTAACTGGGCCGTGCAAACTTCCTGGACATTATAAACAGCGATTCAAGGACGTCCACGTCACACAACACAACAAAACTTTAGGGAGAACCTCTGAAATAGACGTTTTCATCCTGTCTGAATAGCTCTTAAATAAGGCCAGAAAATGGAAATACAATCAAAGCTTGAGTGAGGCACAAGTCTGGACTTTTTAGTTCTCACCTATTTTCACTCTAAGTAGAAGCTGACAATCTTTTCGGCCAATTAAAAGACAAACGGAAACCGAGACCTACCTGGAAAATGCCGGACAAAGGTAGAGTAGTACAGCAGCACTAATTTTTTGCATTACTTGCTGTTCAAATTTAAAAATTTTAAAGGTCCGGTTATGAGGTCAGGATGGTAGATGCTTTACAGCTTTTGGTTAAAAGACATTCTTTGGTACCTTTTTTTAAATTTTTTTTAAAGATTTTATTTATTTATTCATGAGAGACACAGAGAGAGAGAGAGAGGCAGAGACCCAGGCAGAGGGAGAAGCAGGCTCCATGCAGGGAGCCTGATGTGGGACTCGATTCCAGGACCTGGGGATCACGCCCCGGGCCGAAGGCGGCGCTAAACCGCTGAGCCACCCGGGCTGCCCTCTTGGGTACCTTTTAATAACATTTGGGAAACGACCATGAAAACGGTGTAAAAACAAAAGATGCGTTGTTTCTGAGCATCTTTGCATACAGACCCCCCCACACACACACAGATGCACTCACCCTTAGCTGTATTACTCCCACGCATTATGAATTTACTTAATGCTGCTCTCGGGGGAAGAAAAAAAAAATTCCGAGCCAAATTCCATCAATAACAGGTAAACTTACCTTCGTTCTCGAAACTCCTAATGATGTTGGCCGAGGGCATGGAGGTCCGATCCGTTGCAAATTTGTTGTAGAGTTCCAGCATGTACTCCGGTGGGTCCACCTTGGCTGAGTCCTGCAGGGGGATGTCGGATAAGTTCAGCGTCTTGAGAAACTCATTCTTCATGCTCTGCAGCAACGTGTTGAAGTCGACAGCATCTTGCTCTGAGAAGACATCGTCGAAGAGGGGCATGTTTTCTTCCAGAGGCGACTGCTCCAGGCTCATGATGGGGCTGCCAGAAACCGAGTGAGCCACCAGGCCGAAGACCGTGCACAGCTGCAGGGCCAGAGAACCCATGACTCTGCTCAAGCCCCCAGGCCAGCCCTGGAAGGTTTAGCTCTCCTGGGCTCTAAGTGGCAGTTTTATCTGGTGGAGCGTTAATGTCTCGTGTCACTGGAGACAAGTTTGGAAACTCTTCCCCTCTCTCTCCCTCCCCCTACCTCCCTTCCTCTCCACACTCCCCCCCCCCCCACCGCCCGCCCCACCAAAAGTCAGGTTGCAGTAATTGGATAACAAAATCCCCTGTAGGGGCCTAGCCTTTCTTATCTCTCTAGTGTAAACTTGTGCACCAGATTTTGTTTCTATCTTGCGATCCTTTTTTCTTTTAATGAGCATTTTATAAACATGTCCACATTCTGACACTGGCTAAGAGATAGGACAATTTTCTCCTTGTGGAAGCTCTGCTTCTCTTCCTTTCAATTCACTTCCTTTTGGCAGGAATGCCTAAGTTCTGCTTTTATGTGGTTCGCTTTCACACATGCATGGAAGAGATACCGAGAACCAGCGCGATCCACGTCAACGGCACCACGGATTAATTCAAGTGATGGGGCTTCCAGCTTCACGTCAACGTTTCTGAAGAAAGGCCGAGTATCCAGCATCTCCGCGTTAAGCTAATAGGTCTAAATGAATTCACACGGATTTCTAGAAGCTTACATTTTTAGAAACAAGGAAGTATAAACCTCGTGGTCGAGGGCCTTTTCCATAACAGATTTGATCTGGCTTAAGTGGCTTTTGAAAAATAGGGTGAGTGTTTAATTATAATAGCAACTACAATTTATCAGGTGCTTTCCTATAAACAGGCATTGTGCCGAGTGCCTTACGTACATCACCACATGTGCGCCCCCTCACAGCCCTGTTACCGTGCCCATGGCACGGACGGGTCACTAAGATCCCATAACTTGCCGGAGGCCACCGAGGTACAAGGCGACAGAGTCGGGATTTGAAACTCAGCGTTCCGACTCCTGCGAAAAGGGAAGAACAATCAGACTTCGAAACCAGCGCTCCCCAAGCCTGGAGCCAGGACAGAGGGGCAGGAAGCCCAGGTCCCCGCCTCGCCCCCAAACCCACCCACCCCCACCCCTGTGCACGCAGCCAGGAGGCAGCCACCTGCGCTGCATGGGGAGCTTGCTGCATCCCAGAGCCGTGAATTACTAGGGCGGCAACGTCCCTGCCAAATCCACCTTCGGGGTCACATCCAAGCTGTCGATGGCTCCAAGTAAAAGTCGGGCAAACGACATCCCCGGCAGATGAAAAATGCCAGGTGGCTTCGTCTGAGGAAACCGGGGTACAATCAGCCGTGCACCTGGTGTAGCAAAAGACCCATCAGGCCCATCTCGATTTCTACCCCGGGCGGTGGGGCATAGCGGGCAGGTGAGTGCGGGCAGGTGAGCGCGGGCAGGTGAGGGTGGACAGGTGAGCGCAGGCAGGTGAGTGTGGGCTGCAGCTGCCCCCAGGGACGCTCGCGCCCGCCAACCCTGCCAGGGTGCTTCCTGCAGGTGGCAGGTGCCTGGCCCGGTGCTCAGAAGCAGCCCGAGGGCTCGGCACCCCGGAGTGCCCTCAGCTCTGAGCCACAGTTTCCGACGTTTACCCCGAGTGGGCCAGCTCCAGGGTCTCCGCTATCTCCTTCCCTGCAGGCTCCCTCCGGAGCCGTCTTCGGATCCTTTCCTCCCCCCAGAGATGCAAGGTTACGGCAGGTTCCTCAACTGCCGCGGGACGACTCGTGCTCAGAGGAAGAGTCTCTCCTCAAAACTGTCCACCTGCTTGGTGGTTGGTTTGATTCAAAGTCGTTCTTGGCTGATGGTCGTGCTCCTGCGTTAAGAAGCCGGGTGTAGGTGGGAAATAGAGGATATCCCAACAGGTCCCGGGCGAGGAGTCCCAGCCATCCCGCGGGCGGGCCTTGCCGTGTGGCCCCGACAGCGCACCAGCGGGGCCCTGGCATCAAAGCGAGCGCCCGTTTCTCTTCGCGCACACACAGATGTCAGCGCACGCTCCGAAACTCTGCCTGGCAGGCGGGCGCGGGTCTCCGCCGCAGGACGGCGGGCTAAGTGGCGGCACTGAGGGCCCCAGACACAGGCATCGGCCTTGCTGAGCTCCAGCCCTTTGCAGTCCAGGCGGAAAGACGGGCACCTGCGGTTTCACCAGCCCCCCGGCCCCCCGGCCCCCTGGCTCAGTGTTAGCGCAACCGGGGCGGTGGGATATTTAGACTGTTCTGCATCACAAATGTTTACATTTCTGGCTGATTAAAGATAAAATGGGAAATTGTCACTCGCCAGAGCTCATGGCCGACGACCCCTGGAGAGGCAGGGTCCTCAGGCCACACCCATGGCGGGGCGGGCGAGGAAGGAGACTGGCCTCCACACGCCTGGGAGAGGCCCACGGCCTCCACCCTCTTCCAGGACTGGGGTACCTTCCATTTTAGCTGCAGACTCTCCATCCCCGTGATTTTACCCAGAAGCTTTTCCTGAGGACCCTCATCGGACTTTAAAAGGTCCAGGTATCCCCGCATTCCTTTCGGAGTCTTGATCCTCTGGACACGATCTATTCTACTCCTTTGCACTGATCTCATGGTTTTGGATTCTGCTCGTTTGGAGCGTGTTATAATTCACTTAGAGTGGATGGAAGAGGACCATGCTGCTGAGCCAAAGATGAAAAAAAAAAAAAAGCATGTCTAGATATTTTAAGTGAACCCCCTTGGGGTGGAAAGCAAAATATTAACTACACATCATGCTTTTCAATCCCGACTTCAAAAAGCTCCAAAGTCTCTGCTTTATGAATTTTGGGGTCAACTTTTAAGATGCATTCTAATACCTAAGGGATCTGCTGAACCCCATTAGATTCTCAAAGGGGTCCGTGATCCAGCGGAGGTTGGATCCATTGTCCCCCTGCCCCCACTGCCCCAGGGTGAAGTCTGCTGTTCCCTGTTAGGACTGAACAGATCCTGAGTAAAATGTAACCAACCAGATTCCCCCGATGACCAAAGGCCAGTGAAGTTGGGAGGTCTTCAGACGTGACTCCAGGCTTTTGGAACCGCTTGCACCTTGGACTCCATGTCAGAAGCACGACGCTGCTCTTGCCAAACTCACTAGGGAATTTCCAGGAGTTTGAGGTGTCCCTTCTCAAACCAGGTATGATGACACAAATATTCAGGAAGCGACATAGCAGGTCCCCACAGGTCAGAACGGACACAAGAGAGAGCACCAGAGTGGGGTCCCAGAGGCCTCGAGTTCCAGGTAGTGAGCTCTGGGTCTTGGGAGATGGGGGTGGGACGTCGGAGGAAGGGCTTGGGCAGCAGCTACGTACCAGGCTGGATGGGAATATTTTGATATTCTGGCCTCCATGTCACCGCTGCCCTGTGAACAGCAGGAGAGGTTCGTGTCGCCCACAGTTCCAAAGCCGGAGCTCTGCAAGCTCCACACGCTTCCGACTCAGCACAAGGCCAGCTGGCCTGCTCCGGTTACTGCATCCCCTGCGGCTAGAGCCTGCTCTCTGGCTGCCCTCTCAATCTCAAGCCCAGATCTTGCCGCCGTGTCCAGCCTCTGCCCCTGGGGTGGGCCAGACAGCTCCTCCTCCTTTCTGATGTCACCTGCCCCAGCACCTGCTCTGGGACCGGAAGCTGCCCCGACGGTGGCGTCGCTCATCAACCCCTGTATCAGAGCCCGCATTTTCAGCTGGCAAGTGCTCCCTTGCCCCTCCTGACCCCCCAGCATTTAGGTTGCTGCCTACCTGAGGCTCACCGGTCTGCCAGCTGGTTCTCACGGAGCGACACACGGACCCGTCGCCTCAACTCAGCCCCGCCCACGCCTGAGGTTTACAGAGTCTCTTACCTCCTTCCTTCTCTCACCTTCCATGTGGGCCCTTCCCTCGCCGAAAAGGCCTCTCATGTGAACTCCCACCAATAATTGGGCTAGCAATAAAAAAATTAAAGAATTCAGGCCTTTGTCACAGTCTTTCCTTCGAGATTTTGTGTACGCACCTGCTATGCGCCAGGTGCCGTTCAGAAACAAAACCTGGAGGAAACGGACCCAACCCGTGACCTGTGAGTCTACTTTCCAGCGGGGAGGAGAGAGAGACAATGAGCAAACCTACAAATAAAATGAAGTGTCTGGTGGGCGGGGATAACTACAGTGGAAAAAAACAAACCAAAGTGAGAGGATAAGCAATGCCAAGGGCAGGGGGCTTCCTGTTTCACTGCCGAGGCTGGCGAGGGCCTCCCAGGTGGGGAGACAAGGGACCTGGCCATGCCGGCCCTGCAGGAAAGAGCACTGCAGGTGGAAGGAACAGCCTATGCAAAGACTCTGAAGTGACAGCCTGTGGTCGTGGCGGTTAGGGAAGTCTGGGGAGAAGGAGAGTCACAGTAGAGGAGGTCTGAGACTAAGCAGGAGCTGCACCAATTGGGAGCTCATGGATTCCTCTTTTTTTTTTTTTTTTTAACAGCCATCCTACACAGGGACACAACTTGGCCTTTTCCTTTCTGTCACCAAGCCTATGTCACCTCCTAAGGGGTTTTCATGTTGCCCCGTAGTCCTCACAAGCATTAATATATTAATATGTTTGCTCGCTGGAAGTGTAGGTCTGGGAAAGAGGAACCGTGGAGTGGCCAGACAACCGTTTGCCTCCCCCAGCCGTCTCCGAGATGCACAGAAGCTGGGAGTCTGTGCCGCGCCACCCATGGGTGGTGGTAATAGGCCACTAACCCTTGCTGTCCTCGCCGCCTAGCAGTTTATTCTGAGCATGGCGCCTAGATCCTGATACGACAGCGTGTCCCTCCCTCGCTAGGAGCAAAGGGCTAAGTCCTCCAGAAGCGTTCATGGCCCTCCCTGGCCTCTCTGGAGTCACTCCTCTTGCAAACTCCACTCCAGCCCCACTGGCCTCTCTCATTCCTCAAACACCCCATGCCCCTTCCCACCCTTGGACCTTTGCTTCAGCTCCTCTGCCTGACTCGCCACCCCCTGCACAGTCACCCTCACCGCCTCCACGTCTTTGCTCACAAGTAACCTCCTCAATGAAGCCTGCCCTGA